TCTAACAGCAAAAGGTTGATAACAGTGGCCTGGTCCAGAATAGGCCATGGGAGCCGTCTTATCTCCCTTTGGCAGGAGGTGTTCCGAGTTTCCTGTGCGAAATCAGGAGCGTACGCTGCTTTCCTCTTCTTGTTTGGCTTCCTCCCCTATACAAGACTGTTCCCAGCACTGCTGTTATCCTTGCATCTTCAAACATGGCACAATTTACTTCCTTAAAAGCTTTATGTATTCTTAAGGGTCCAGCTATACCCCCCATCTCCTGCAAAACTGCATTAACCCCTTCAAGCATTAAGGAGCTGCAAATTGCGGCTTCATACACTATGGAAATGATATGGCACATTCAAATGCAGCATGCAAATAATGGGAAGTATACGGTTTGAAGTGACAACTTGGAGAGGGTTTTTGCACACAAATTGTTCAACTCAAAAAACGCCTGTCTATGAAATATGAAATAGACAATGCTATATTTAATTTGTTTTGAGTCACTGACCCAAAACAGGTATGCAGACCAGGGGTTCTGATCTCATTGGCTTCATATTTGTTCATTAGTGAGTCACTAATGGCAGTCTGTATATTTCTCTGTTGACAGGTGTCAGAAACCCAGGGAGATATGATAAAGAAAATCAGCTTTTTGTAGTGATATAGCTAGAGACTACATTTATCCCATAGGGCTCCTGTCCTGAATAACCTGAAATTCCTGAATAACATCACTTTAAAGGCCTCGCAACTCTGATTTTACTGAATGTATCGGAAGGCTTCAGATGGCCCCCAGTTATCCTTGCCTGAGCCAGGAAGCTAACTGTTTTAAGGAGGAAAGTCTCTACTTTGAAGTTAAAGGTCAATGTGTGGTTGCTGTGGCCAAATCAAAAAAAGACCTAATTTAAACAGACTAGACAAAGGACAAATATTTGTCTATGCTGGCTCTTATTTCATCCTCCAATTCTGGAATAATAGAAACCTATTATTTATGTATTTATTATTTATATTTTTAGCTTAATTTGTAGCCTGATGATATAGTACTGTACCACTATTTTCTCATGAAACTTTGGAGCTACAACATATTTCTGTGTAAAGTGGGGGATTCAGATTACCCGTAACATATAAATAAGACCGCTTTCTTGCTGCAGGTAGTGGTGCATAGTGTGAGATAGACCGTGAAATGCAACCAGTTAAATAAAGTAAGCCTAGTGGGATATTGCGGGTAGGAGATATAACAGAAGGGGCAAAAATATATTCTTGGCCACAAATAGTTAACAATGGAATTCCTGGTGGAAGTGTTGAATTGCTCTAAGATCTTTGAAAACATAATTGCAGGGGTTCTCAATTTCCTGCTACTGTGCGCTGCCAGATTTATGACTGTCTTCCTCCTCTTCACCTCCTTTTTGGTTTATAATATTAAAATAGAAATGATGACTTCTGTTAAAGTCTATTCCTCCTTATTCATAGCAAACAGAAAGAAAAACACAAAAGTATGGTCAAGGACAGGCTGTCGGAAAGTCAAGAATAAATAATCCCAAATCCCAAGGCATGCTACTTCCCCCTGCTTCTTCAAAGTGCTCTTAACCCAGAAAGAACTTTCCGCAGGGATAGAATCCAGGCACTTAGACTGCTCTGTGCGATAAGGCAGGGTGCAGAGCAATGGGGATTTACAGTAACCAATAGCAACTGGTCTCATCGTTCAAATATTGATTTTAAAGAGAATGTAAAATAATTTTATACATTATTTTTTCTTTATTGGATTGGAGAATTAAAGGCTTAAATGGGTTTATATACATGATACTGCGTGTGCATAGCTTTAAAAGACCTTTAAGCGATCAGATGTCTCCATGTATAAAATTAATAGAAAAAGCCACGCTGTGTGAATGAAACTGCAAAAGTGTCAGATATAGCAGATACTGACCTTGAAATAATGTGATACAATCTGTAAAAAGTGCAAAACAAATAAGAAACGCATGTATGTAACATGCACCTCAGTGTAAATGCATTGCTACAAAATATCCATAATGGAAAATCAAATACAATAGATGTTAACTGTGAAACAATGTGATGCAATGTGCAAAGAATAACAACTAGAAAAAACATGTAACGTATAACATGCACTTCAGTGAAAATAATAAATGGTTAAAAAATGTCCATGATCCTGGATCTTCAATAGTCCATTAGGAAAATAGAAGATAAAACATTGGATGTAAAATAATGTCAGTCTCCTGTGACCATCAACAGAGAAATCTTCTGGAATGCACCTCACCTTTAGCAGAGACCCACCATGGTCTGTATGCGCTGTTCCTCTAATTCAAACCAGGTAGAGGAAGCACCTGATGTCAAACACCTCCCAGTGATTTCCTCCTCACAGGAACAGACTCTCTTGCAGTCTCAGGAGTTGGAAGCAGACAATTCATACAAATGGCCCATGTATCAAAATAAAAAATGGAGACTCGTAGTGCAGATGGTTTTAAAAGGATACTACACTTTATTAAAAAGGATACTACTCACATATAGATAAAAGTAAGGTTTTTAGTAAGCAGCCACAGACACTGTGTGCAATCGCTCAACTCCTCTACTCCACACTACGTACGTTAAGTCAAAGGGCGTGACTTCATCAGGGGTGTGGAGACAGGAGCTAGACCGAGCGCATATATTAAGACCAGTTGTCATGGTAGCCACCATATACAAATGGCGGCCATGACATTTAAAAAATTAAAACAACATACTAAATATATTGCAACTGAGAGTAAAATACAAAAAAGTGATACAATGGGGTCTATTCACAAAGCTGCCGAGGGCAGCCGAGTGAATGACCGATCTGAAGTGAAGTGAGCTGAACACTCTTCGGCTATTCACTTCAGGCTGGTACGGCTAATTTCAGCCGTACATCGGCTGAAATCAGCCGTACATCGGCTTGCTAGGGCCGGAGTCGGCTGTAAGATCACGGCTGGCTCCGCCCAGCTCGGCCAGCTTCGGCTTTCAGCACGGTTCAGCCGAGCGGATGCATATGCGTTCGACTCGGCTGACCCATTCGGCCATGATCGGGAGCTGTACGGGCTATTGTGAATAGCCCGTACAGCACCCCTTCGGTTCTACTGAACCAAAGGGTTCCTGGGGCCGAAGCTAGCTGAAGGATCAGCCGAAGCTACGGCCAGATCCTTTGGCAGCTTCGTGAATAGACCCCAATGTGATAATGTTATACACATGCGTTTTTTCTAGGTGTTATTCTTTGCACATTGCATCACATTGTTTCACAGTTAACATCTATTGTATTTGATTTTCCATTATGGATATTTTGTAGCAATGCATTTACACTGAGGTGCATGTTACATACATGCGTTTCTTATTTGTTTTGCACTTTTTACACATTGTATCACATTATTTCAAGGTCAGTATCTACTATATCTGCCACTTTTGCAGTTTCATTCACACAGCGCGGCTTTTACTATTAATTTTATACTATATATCTGACCACACAGATTTCAGCTGCTGCTTAGCTTGATTGGAGTAGTGGAGCGAGGTTTCACATTATTCTCTCAGATGTCTCCATGTACTGAAAGAACCATATGTTCAGTTTACCTCTTGACTGGGCTTTCACATTTTTTCCATTTCAATGTACTTACTGCTGCAGGATGATGTGGTAAGTTTTATGATTTATGACTTCATAGACATGTCATGAGCACACCAGCAGTGCTTTAAGGCTTGAGGGACACAGCAATGGCAGTTTGAGCCAGTTCCCTTGCCACCATAGCTGCATCATTCAGTAGAGTGCACCAGGTGCATGGATGCCAGAGCATAGGAAAGGCATTACAAAATGCATTCCTTATCAGTGTTACTGTTATTGTTATTAAAGGGATGTTAATGGGGTTGATTTACTAAAGGAAATTCACTTAGCAAAGTGTATGTTCATTCAGCTTAGTCAATAAGGTAAAGTTATGTTTACTGCAATTATACAACCATGTGCACATACAAATACTGTTCATTTTTAATTTCTCTTGCCAATGGTTAGGGATTACTCCTAAGCACAGCGTAACTGTATTAAGTAAACTAAGAACATTTTCTATACCTTTATTACATCAACTCCAATGAGTCCTTCTAGAAATCCGTTTTTTCTTTAGTTTTTATGAATGAGACAAATCATTTGCAAAATAACCAGGGAGCTAACATAAATCATGAAATCCTAGCATGGGATCTGATATAAATATATTGCCCAAAGATCTTTAGTTGTGTCTGGCACTCTCTGACATGTTCTGAAATAGAAATGTGTTTAGGTGCTGACTAATGATTTGAAGTGTCAGTGCTGGAAGGGACAGCACGTTCCATTCATACGTAAATCCAGACTCTGTTCTGCCCTTCCTGGTCACAGTGTGTTTCCACCTGACTCCCTATGGGATCATTAGTGGAATTTCCATGTAGGTTCCACCAAGTCCTTTGTGAGGTTTTAAGTATTTATGAGCCTTGGAGACAGAGGGTGCTTTCCCCTTTATTATTTATTGCTCTTGGTAAAGGACTAGGTCACCAAAGCCGATATATATTATTGCTTCTGTGCTTCCACCAGCTCTGCTCTAGAAAGTATTATTTCTTCAGACTTAGGAAGTTTTGCAAGTATGCTTTGCATGTGCCTAGTGCAATATTTCCATTGTTATCATACCATAATTATTCAGTTGTATTATGAGCAGCAGATTTTTTTCATTCTTTGTGGTACTTCATTTCCACCAGTCAGAATATTTTCGTTCCTTCTACATTTGTCTTCTTCTAGTGCTGATTTAAATCTAATTGTTATGTGACAAAAGGCAGGTTTTATTTCACTCATTGGTAAATGTGGCCAAGGAGAATCATACAGCAAACACTAGTATGCAAACTCAGCTATAAATACTGAACAAGATGAGGTGAAAATATTAAGGATTCTTTTTATAAATGTTTAAAATGACAGATTTATTAGAATTTACACACTGGGCAACGTATAACTCTAAACTTGTTTCAGCGTAATGAAAATATTCTTTCCCCTTGCACAGGTGTGATTTCCAACCTGACAATGCTGTCCTTCTAAACGTGAGGAAATATAACAGCAGTACGGACAATAAGGTTTACAATATCATAGAACGGACACGTACAATTGAAGGAAGAAACAAGGTAACATTTTACATTTCAGTGATTTGTGTGTACAAGTGCAAAGAGTGGTTTGGTGTGATAACCATGCCCTTTTTCCACTGAGAAGGGAGATCCAGCTTATGCCTGTAGCTTTTAGACAAAAAGCGTATCGACTTCTAATTTGTAAGATATATGTTGTTAAATCAATCTATTGTAAGCAGTATAACACACCAAAATCAATGCTGCTGGACACAACATTCAGGGCTTGTTCACAGCTCCGGACCAGTTCCGGACCAGAACGTATTCCTATGGTATTTCTGATCTCTGTTCACACCAGTGCAGAGTGTTCTGGTGCAGGGGCAAAAATGCTGCATGCACTATTTTTTCTGGTCTGGAACGCTCCAAAACGAATGTAAACACATCAAAAACGCATGCAAAGGCACCGAAACGCACTGGACCTCACCTGAAAGCCCATTTTAAGCTAATGAAAACTGCACCGGAACATATCAAAAACGCACTGCACCGCATTTGCAGATACGCATCCAGACCTGGTCCGGACATGGTGTGAACAAGCCCTCAATAACAATCAGGGAGGCTGTAGTGCTGACAACTCTTGGCAGAGGAATAAATGAAGTTGTTCTGGTTCAGCTGCTGACCCACCAAAGGAAATAGGTAAGCACAGAAGTAGTTCTGCTGCAATAAGATTGTAGTAGGATATAGCATATAGAATGTGGCACATGTAACTTTCACTTATCAGGATGCTGAAGACGGCAATGGATATGCCCCGTTCATTTCTTGTGTGCATGTTGCCACAGCTGTATTGTGCAAGTAAACATATGCTTAAACTGGAATTAAAATAAACCCCGCAGGATTCAATAAAAAGAAATGAATCGCTGATCCACCACTGAATCCTGGGTTCAGCTTCTGTGTAAAGAGTTCACTAAATGCCGGTTAGCTTATCTGCTAACCTCTGGCTGCTAGTTTTAGTAGGTTTGTAGTGAGATTTAATGATGTCACTACTGTGCTGCTCACTGTTCTCCTTGCTGAAGGGAAAAGGAGAGGAAGCAAAACCCTGTCTCTACCTATATGGTTACCTCCACACAGCTCAAGGCATGGTAGGTCACTAATTTAGAAATATCAGCTACAGGGAGACCACTAGCAATACTGCTGGCTAGTCATTTGACCTCTGTTTGTGTTTTATGTAGACAGCTTTAACTGTAACATCCTCTGGTGTAAAGTGTTATCGCCGTGATCTTGGATTCAGCTACTTTATATATGCTTATGTGCTTTGAATATATGACCTTTTTAGTGTTTACCGTGTAATTATCGAAAAAAGCCTCGCACTGGCGTAAGCTGGAGTGCAGGAAGTGTGTCGTATTATGTCAATCGGCCTATGTCAGTAATAGTGTTCTAGCGAGATTTCTGCCAAGCACTTTGCAAACGCACATTGAGAAATGGAGTGCTATCATTGACTCAAGTGTTGATACACACAAATAAAATATCAACTTCCACTTTTCTTTAATGACTCACTTCCCACACCCAAAACATTTTTATTCTCACGTCTAAGATTAGGATTAATCTTCTTACTCTTCTCACGCCAGCTAATTATAGCATGTGGTGATACGTGACAAGAAGTGTATTGTCTGTAATTCATAGAATAGACATATGTGTTTCCCTTTTCTCTTCTCCATTTGTGGAATCTATGGGGTCCTGATGGTTACAGTGAATGGACATAAACTGAACAAAGATCTGCCATATTTTGTAGCTATGTGAATGACGTTTTGATGAACTATCTCTACCAACATCTGCTAAGCCTTCCCTTTCTCGCACACAAGGACAGTCAAATATTCAGAAATGTTTTGAATCACCTATATTGAAGAAAATAGGTCACCAGCACTCCATAAGTTAAAATGAATGAGTCACATCTCTTGCCTTGAAGAAGGGACCCTGTGTGGCCCCGAAACGTCGGCTCATGTTGGATTTCTGTGACATCATTGTCCATTAAAAGGACTCATTCATTTTAACTTATGGAGTGCTGGTGACCTATTTTCTTCAATCTTGTGTTTTGCACGGTGCCATCCGTGAAGTTACTTCGAGCACCATTTATTTGATTGTTGGCCGGGACTGCTGAAAGGTGTGCGGAGGGCACCTCCATCAATTGCATTTGAATCACCTATACTCAACAATTCCCATGTATGGGTGCTATACGTCTTTTACCCAAATTTACATAGCAGATCACTGGGACCCTCTAATAGTCTAATGGGACTAAATAGGCCAAGTATAATAAATAGCCAGATTTATGTTGCTTAATTTCAGACTTAGACATGTTTTATTTCCTGCAGCTTTTATGCAGGATACCGCTGTGAAGAACAATCTGAATGCAGCATTATGTGTTGTAATGTGCCCCGTTATTAAATTGCCACAAGTCTCTGTCTACAATAGACAGTGAACCTTTTGAATGTTGCAAAGTTTCATGCTTGATACCTCCATGCTATAAGGAAGTAATACCAAAAGCTGTAATGTTATATATTTAACTGCGAGTGCTGCAATGGGGTAATTGTGTTTACATGAGTAATAGTGTAGTTCTTGTAGGGAAAGACTACACTGCATCTAGTTCTGACTGCATATATTTCACAGTTTCTGAAATCATGGCCATCATCTGAGTCTTCCATTTTTACAGTGCAGAAGGTGGCAGCTTACAGATTTGCTTCAATGGGGAAAATAGAAGTAATAGTTAAGGATGTTTGACACAATTGTATCACTCATTTAAAACAAGCAAATGGTGTCTTAAAAATGTGACAATCCCCAAACATTCACTGTAGGTGAATAAATCAATGTAATTAAAAACACACGCACCAGGAAGATATGCCTGAAGTGAATAATTTGTGAATGTCACGTTCACTGCTTTATAAGTATACCCCATATGTCTAAGATATTTTCAGATCGGATCAGTTCAGTGCTCCAGCCTTATTATTCTCTATTGTATCTTTTTCTATTTTCCAGACTGCAAGCACTCTTATTATAGACGATGCTGCAACATCTGGTGTTTACAGCTGCATCACATCCAATAATATAGGAACTGAGAGAAGAGATATAAGCTTTTTTGTTACAGGTAAGCTTCCATTTGGATTGCAGTTGCCATGGTGCTGCACACCAACTATTTGAGGGCTTGAAAGTTTGGTGGAGAGCGGGAATAAGCAGACTTGCAACCTTGACAGTTGGCATGCCTTGAGAGTAACTGTTTTCAGTGACCAATAAATTGGTGGGTCTAGTTCCACTTTAAAATATGCAAATGTAAAGGTTTGCCTTTCCATCAAATTTACAAAGTTGACACTAAATCCATATTATGTATTATGTTTGGCATAATGCCTTACTGTATTTCTTAAGCAAATAATTGTTTTGAATTTGTTTTATACCTAGAGACCCTGCCAGTAATTTCACTTTCTGTTAACTGACACTTTTAAGTCAAGTCAACTACCTTGCATTTAGCAGCAGCATTGTCAAACTGCTGTGCATGCTCCTTCTGTTGGCCATTGGCCTACCTATCAGGTTTGTGCGTGCCTCCTGCAGACCTGATAGGCACATCAATGGCCAACCAATCAAGCTCACATGGAAGGCTGAAATATTTGCTGCTAATTGCTAAGCAGTGGTGCTTAACGGGATTTCTAGGTAAAAAGCTGTTCAATAGATTCACGAAAAATTACTTGTTTAGAAAAACTGTATACAGTGAAACATGATGCCAAATGTAATAGAAATTGATTCAGGGTTTGCATATACTTTAACTCACCAGCCTCTCTCAAAAACGTAAATATGCGCTGTGTGGAGGACTGGTCCTCTAAGAAAACCACCTATGGTCATAGATCCCTACTGTCTTTCATTTAGAGCAACTATCCCTCTATCCCGCTTTTTTCCTTAGTTGCCCCTCTTTTTGGTCTGATATAGACCTCTTTAGCTTAATATGCTATTTAACTATCAAAAGTTTTACACAGCACTGAATCTTTCATTCAACCTCTAAATTCTGGAATTTGTTATTCTGAAAAGGTAGTAATGGCAAAGGCATGTGTGGATATCACCAATCATTTTTTGCTTATTCTTTATAATCCACCTAACTAAAAGGAATGGCAGAAGTGTGTTCTTTGCCTATATACTTTAGCTGAAAAGTATCTCAGAAAGTTGAGAGGTATGCCTATTGTAGATGAAACATTTTCAGTTACTGCCAAACTTACATACTGATCTTTTGTACTTTAAGTTAGGGTCACGTCTCTCACATTGTCATGTTTTTCTAGCAAACACTAATAGTTGAAGGTCTCTCCTTTGAGTCAAAATTGCTGCTTTCCGCTGGATATTGATGTTTTGACTGCCGTGCTTTACCCCTGTGTGTGCTTCAGGACGTAGCCTTGTAGGTGGCCATGCAACTGCCTGTTTATAGTTGCTGTCTAACTGTAGTAGAAGTTGACATTCACAATGGGATAGGTATTCCAAACATGCCTGAATTGTTCACCGTCAGAAACATTTCAGATGGAATGACAGTTCAGTCCATGAGATTGAATAACCTGTAAGCTGTCCATTCTTGTGCATTTGCTGGCACACAGCATGACTGAGGGTGTGTTTGCAATTACCTAGGGTGAAACAGGAACAGCACAAGCTTATCTCCTTGGCTTCTCAATGTCACTAAACAGCATTTTATTTTGAGATTCCTGGTGGTGCTTGGCAAAGATAAACAGCATCTTCCATCAGGAAACCTTGGAGCTATTTCCACAGGAAGTCTCAAATCACTTAAGTAAATACAACCATTTTACATTATTGCAGCCGTGCAGCTAAGCATCACATTGATCTCTGGGTTCAGC